CCTCACCATCCTCATCAATCTACCTATTTATTATCTATCTGTCAGTCTTCCTGCCTGTCTTTCTGTCTCTCCAACTGATCTTTCTGTCTCTCGAACTGATCTAACATCATCGTTTATCTATGCATTGTCTACCTGTTATTCATCTATCATCAATTAATCCATCTATCTATTCATCCATCCATGATCATTTATTATCCATCATTTATCTTTCTACATCTGTCTGTTATGTGTCTGTCTGCCTATCTACCCACCATCATCATCATTTACCTATTATCTATCTGTCGTCTTCATCATTTGTCTATTCTCTGTCTATAATCATCATTTATCTATTATTTTCTATCTGTATCTATTGTAACCTATCAAACATCATTTATTTATAATCTTTAATCTGTCTAACTCTGTATCTATCATCTGTCTACCTGTCATCCATCTATGTTTATCATAGTTTTTCTACCATCTACTTATGATCGATTTATCTATAGCTATTGATTATCTACAATCTATTTTCTATTATCTATCATCCATCTCTCTAAATCGAATCTTGGCAGTGGTTGTCACCTGGGTGATTTTGACGCCAGAGAACACTTGTTAGCTGGGCTGTGCTACTGCATGCAGAGAGTGGAGCCCAGGGGTCTGCTAAACTATGTACAGTGCACAGGACCTCTAGCCCCATATATCCACAGTGAAGAGTCTGAGAAAGCCGGCCACAGGCTAAAGAAACCACTAGTGTGCTTTGAAGTTTTACACACCCTTGCTAAAGCACAGGAAAGCTCTGTTTAGTTTGCTTTGTTAATTTAGGGTGTGCATTAGAAACGTCACAAGGAAATAGAAGCCCACGTTTTTGCTCTGTGGGGAGACACTCGGTGATGTCTGCTGCCGCTTTTGGACATCGCCACTGTGTGGAGGTGCTCCAGGTGTCAGGTGGGTGAGGCCCAGGGATGCTGCTCAGCAGCCTGCGGTGCACAGGATGATGCCACAGCAAAGACCTCAATTCCATCAGGATGGGGACTCCAAGGTGAAACTGGGTGTTGCCCAACTTTTGCTCTGGATAAGATGTCCGGGGTGCATGATGTGTGTTAAGGAGCTCAGAGGCTTCTGCTCCTCATGGGGAGAAAAGTGTGTTCACAGGCATTGGAGATAACAGCTGCTTAGAGGGAGGCAGGAGGCAGCCCCCTGCCTGTCTACCCTGCCAATGAGCTGCTTGACAGCAGAGAGAATCTATCTTGAGGAGGCCGGCCTGGGGTGGTGTTCACTGAGTTTCACCTGCCACTCTTCTCTGGGAATACTTGGAAACACAAGGTGAAGATGCCGTGGGAAGGTTGAGGAAGGGGAAGCATTCTCGTGTCTTTCCTCAGGGCATAGAAGGGGCTCTGCTTGCTGCAGTCCCAAGTTGCTCCCACCCAGAAGCTGCTCTCTTGTTACTCAGCAGGGTTTCTCAAAGGGGATAATTTCACCCTTAGGGGTCATTGGGCAAAGTCTGGAAGTCTTCCTAGTTGTGACAACTGGGAGGGGGTGGGAGCTCCTGGCATCTGGTGGGTGGAGCCCAGGGACGCTGCTCCACATCCTACAGTGCACAGGATGGGTCCACCACAGAGACAGAGCTATAGTCTATTTATCTATCACCTCCATCAATCTATCATCTGTCTATCATCTCCATCTATGTCTCATGTATGTATCTATCTCTATCAACCTATCATGTTTATCTGTTATCTATCTTCCTATCAGCGATCTACTTATTTTATCTATCTCCATCTCGTACTACTATTATCTATATATCTGTCATCTATTTATCTATCACCTATCTATCTCTCCATCCTATCTATCATCTATCTCTATCCCCATCTATGTATCTATCAACTATGTACCTATCAATCACCTATTTATCACCTATCCATCTCTCCATCCTATCTGTCATCTATCTCTATCTCCATCTATGTATCTATCAATTATCTATATATCTATCAATGACCTATTTATCACCTATCTACCTCTCCATCCTATCTATCATCTATCTCTATCTCCATCTATGTATCTATCAATTATCTATATATCAATCACCTATTTATCACCTATCTCTCTTTTCATTCTATCTATCATCTATCTGTCCAGCCTATCTATCTCATCTGTCTATCATCTATCTGTGTATCATCTATCATGCATCTACTGACCTATTTCTCTATCCATCATCTATCCATTTACTTATCATCTATCTAAACAGTGGCTCACAGCATAAGAATAATTCTGCCCTTGCCCCCACCAGGGAACACTTTGCCGTGTTTGAGGTCAGTTTTAACTGTCACTACTGGGAAAGTGTGCTGATGCATCTGGCAAATGGAGCCCAGGGAGGCTGCTCAACATCCTAGAGAGTCCAGCCCCGATGCCACAAATGCCTTGGTGAAAAACTCCAGTAGTAACTTCCATCTAACCGTGGGGAAGGGATCAGGTTGACAAGCACGTCATTCTCAACAGTTCAGCAGGCAGGAGCTGTCTGAGTCCTTTGTCAGCGCATCGCTTGTTAGAACACTGGTAAGACCCTTTCCCATAGGATGGTTCCCTTACCCAGTGCAAGAGCACAGCAGTCCACATGTTTTCACTCATAAGTGGGAGTGGAATAATATGTCCACATGGACACAGAGAGTGGACTAATAGACCTTGGAGATTCAGAAGGGTGAGAGACTGGGAGGATGGTGGGGAATGAGCAGTGACTTAATAGGTTCCATGTACACTATTCAGGGGATGGTGATGCTGAAAGCCCAGACTTCACCACAACTCAGTATATCCATGTAACAAAATTGCACTTGTACCCCATAAATTTATACAAATAAAATAAAGTATATCAATCAATAAAATTTGACATATAAACCTGTTTAATACAAATGCAGAAAAAAATCATGTTGTTTTTTTCCTTTGCATAACATGTAAAAAAATCAATGAATGTGCCTTCCTGAGGCTTACTATGTCCTGCAGATATCTTACAAAGCCCCAGTAGTCATGAGTTAAATTCTTGCATGTAGCCTGTGGGAGGTCAGAGATAGCCTCCACTGTTTATTAACAGCTCTCGGCCCATCTATGAAGTGGAGGTAAAAACACCACCAATACCTGTCCCCAAGGCTGAGCTGATGCAGGGGCAGCCCTCAGCACAGTGCCTGGTACCCACAGACCATGGATCATCCTAGGTATTAATCTAAATCGGGAAGGCCTGGCTGTAGCTTGCATTGATCGCCATTGACAGTTTGGGGAAGAATCTGGTTTCCTTTGCTGTCTCTTTCTGATGGTCACACGAAGGCTCTTCTTCTCCAAGTAAGTTCACTCATTCAACTCATGCACTCATACAGACATACATTCACACATTCATTCACTCATTCAACTCATACAGGCATGCATTCACACCTTCATTCACTCATTCAACTCATACAGGCATGCACTCACTCATTCATTCACTCATTCAACCCATACAGGCATGCATTGACACATTCATTCACTCCTTCAACTCATACAGGCATGCACTCACACATTCATTCACTCATTTAACTCATACAGGCATGCACTCACACATTCATTCACTCATTCAACCCATACAGGCATGCACTCATGCATTCATTCACTCGTTCAACTCATACAGGCATGCACTCATGCATTCATTCACTCGTTCAACTCATACAGGCATGCATTCACACATTCATTCACTCACTGAATTCATGCACTCATACATGCATGCATTCCCACATTCGTTCACTCATTCAACTCATGCAGGCATGCATTCACGCATTCATTCACTCATTCAACCCATACAGGCATGCATTCACACATTCATTCACTCATTCAACCCATACGGGCCTGCATTCACACATTCACGTATTCATTCACTTAATTCACTGATGCTCGGATGCATGCATTCACACTTTTACTTATTCATTCATTCGTCCACCATTAACTTGTCCATGCATTCAATTTATTTATTCACTGATGCATAATACATTAATTCATGACATGTATGCAATCTTCACTCATTCAGTCATGTGTGTATGCATTAACACACATGCTAGTTGGTTGAGCTCACTCAGGTACTCATACATATTCATTCACTCACTCATTCATCCACGTATTCACTTGTCATGTATCCTGTTCATGCACTCACACACATTCATTGTTTTATAAATGCATGCCTTCACGTGCTCATTCAATCCTGCATGCATGAATGCATTCACTCACTCACGCAGGCACGCATGAATTCCCTTGTTCACTCGCTCATACATGCACTTGTACATGCGTGAATTTACTGAAGTCACCCATGCACTTAGTCACGCATTAATTCACTCACTTATACACTTGGCTCATGCAGGCGTGAATTCATTTGTTCACTCACTCATCCATTCACTCATGCCCTCGCTCTTGTGTGCATGAACTCACCTTTCACTCGTTCCAGCACTCATACAGGATGAATTCCCTTGTTCACTCACTCATGCAGTCACTCATGCGTCATAAATTCATTCAGTCATTCATGCACTGTCAGTTACGCATGAAATCACTTGTTCAATCACTCGTGCATTCAACTCATTCATTCACTCATTCATAGATTCGTGCCTTCATTCATGCATGTATGCATGCACCTGGTTTTCGGCACAGTCACTCCTCCATTCATGCATATATGTTTGAATTCATTCTTACGTGCATTGGCTCATTCATGCCGTCAACTCCCGCATTCACCTGTGAATGCATTCATTCCCTCCCTGGCGCAGACACTGATGGTTCATCCATTTCCTCGCTCGCTCATTCACGTGTAGTTGTCCATTCACGCCTCACATGCATTCACACACACGCGTCCTCCACTCATCCATGGAAAGACACCGCGTGCAGACAGCCAGTCACTCGCTCGCTATGCATGCAACAGCCGAGGCCTGAACACTCAGTTATTCTTTCATGCACTCATTCATTCATTCAGGCGTGCAAGTATGCACACGTGCGTTTTTCATGCATTCAGTGAGATCGGGTACGAGCCCTGCCTTCTCCCTCCCGGACGCTACCAGAGGAGCGGCCTCCACCCGGGCTGCGCGCTGGCCTTGGGCCCAGGGCCTTAAGCCATCGCAAACATTTACTTCGGGGCCGGCTGATGGAAGGTTAAATGTTCAAACCGGGAAACCGCGGGCTGCATTGGGGGCCGCGGCGGGCGAGGGGCGGGGCGCGGCACGGGGCGCAGCCCCCGGCCGTTCCCGGGTGTCTCTCCCCGGCAGCCCGGGCTGGGCACCAGGCGGCGCGCGGGCTTGTTTGCGGGCGGGGGCTGCAGCCGGGCGGAGACGACCCGAGCCCGCGGGGGTGGGCGGAGGTGGGGCCGGGCTTCCGGACAGAAGCCAATCGATGCCCTCGGAGCCTGTAGCGCAGGCCCAGGGCAGAGGCTGCGGGAGCGCGGAAGAGGTGCCGTGGGCTGCCGGGGGGTGCAGGGGGCCGTGGGTAGCGGAGGAAGCCTGGGTGCAGGGGACGGCCGGGGTGCGCAGAGGCTGCCTCAACACCTAGAGGTCTGGGGTGGGGGGGGGTTGGCGTACAGCGGGGTGGCGAGGCCGAGGCTGGGTGCTGGGGGAAGGGCGACGGCTTGGAGTGTAGAGGAGGGGTGAGGGGCGTAGGGCGCTGGAGGTCAGAGGTCTCTCAAGCGCGAAGGAGGGGAGGGTTTTGGAGCTCTTGGGGGTGGGTCCGCCGAATGGGGGCGCCGAGTGCTGGGGAGTACAGGTCCAGGCGCGGCGGGTCGCGGGGACACCGGGGCTGCCCCAGAACTGAGGACAGACGGAGGCGGGGGCGCAGGCTGGGAGGCGGGGGCGCAGGCTGGGAGGCTGGGGCTTGGGAGCGCGGTCAAAGGCAGAGGCTGTGGTTGCGCGGGGGAAGGGAGACGTGCAGGGCGTGGAACGGATTCGGGGGCTCTCGGGGAGGAGGGCGAGGGGCGCAGGGGTGGGCCGGGGGGGCCTGGAGTGACGGGGGAAGGGGCGTCTGGCCGGTGGGCGCGGGCAGAAGCAGCGCAACCAAGCTCGGAGGAGGTGCAGATCCCGGGGTCCGGGAGCTCAGGGGTGGGCCAGGGAGTGGACGGGGCGGGGTAACCGGGGAGCGCCAGCTGGGGTGGGGAAAGAAGATGCCCAGAACTCCAAGCAGGTGCGCGGGGCGGCGGGGCGGCTGCTCATACCGCAGAGGTCGCTCGGGGTTCCGGGGGCGATGTCGTTGCTGGGCACTTGAGTAATTAAACGCAGCGGGGTCGCAGGTGACAGCGGGGAGGACAGGGGATCAAGGGGACCCTGGCCAGAGGGCAGGAGGCTGACCTTGAGCGCCACGGAGGCAGTGCGGGGAGGGCCGGGGTCCCGTGGGGCGCAGTGACACCGGGTGCGTAGCTGGCCGGGGGTGACGCTGGCGGCGCCTGAGGCTCAGGGTGTCGAGACCGCCACGCGGTCGCCCGCAGGCCTGGAAGTCCACGCCGGTTCCTGGAGACGGCGCCTCTGCTCTGAGGGTTCCGTGGTGGGGAAGTCTACCCACTGCACCCCGGCGCCCACTGCACGCGGCCCGGAGGACCATGTCGGGTGAGTAGCTCAAGCTCCTTCAGTTCGGCCTGCCTGTTCCTGCCGGCTTGGGTGAGATTGGTCTGCGCTGCGGAGAAACCCAGTTTGACCCAGGACTGCCCCAAATCCGAGTCTCCCCTCATTGACTCACCCAGGTCTCTGTGGGTCTGGAGGGACTGGTCCATCCGACGCTGCTGGAAATACCGGTGGGCTTCAGCTGCTGGGAGGGGGTGATTGGTAGCAAGTGAGGGTGGCGTTGGGATTTCACCAGTTCCACTTGTAAGATGTAGTCCTGGAAGTTTCACTGGGCTCGTTTCTTGGGAATAGCATTGAACTGTCTGAGATTCTCACTGCGTGGAAGGCCGATGGTAAGAAGTCTGTTCTCCTAAAATGGCCCTAAAACTCTGGGAAGAGGCGGTCTTCCGGTTCTTGGAGTTCAGGCCATCGGTTTAATTTCCGTGCCCAGCACAGACGCAGGGATGGCCTGGCTTGGTGGCTCGGGCCTGTAACCCCAGCACTGTGGGAAGCTGAGGCAGCAGGATCGCTTGAGGCCAGGAGTTTGAGACCGTCCTGGACAACATAGGCAGACCACATCTCTAGGAAAAATAAAAATAAAAATTAGCTGGGAGTTGTGGCATGTGCCTGTGGTCCCAGCTACTAGGGAAGGTGAGGTGGGAAGGTCCTGAGCCCAGGAGGTCAAGGAGGCACCACTGCACTCCAGCCTGGGTGACAGAGTGAGATCCTGTCTCCAAAACCACCAAGAAACAAAATAGGAACCCAGGTCAATCCTCCTGCAGGCAGCAGGCAGCAGGCAGGAAAGGCCGGAAAGGCCTGCCCCTTGAGGACTGGCGAGCCCCATCTCTCTGCACTTGGTTCTGTGGACATCAGATAGACCGGTTGACTTCAGATGCCTAGATATGAGAAGGTAGATTGTACGTCATCCCATAATAAAGATGCTGGTTCTATTTTTTTATCGTTAAATCATTAAGGCACCTCCTTGTACCAGACCAGACTGGATCATTCCTGAGTGCATTTTATGTATTTCTTTTCAAAAAAAATTTTTTTTAACTTTGTAGAAACAGGGTCTTACTATGCTGCCCAGCTTGTAGGCTCAAGCAGTCCTCCTCCATTGGCCTCTCAAAGTGCTGGGATTATAGGCAGGAGCCACCGCACCTGGCACACACAGAACAGATTACTCTTTTATTCAGAGGAGAGATTCAGTAAATCCCAGAGCTGCTTCCATCCTGTTTTCTCCCACTCTGGACTTAGAGACGAAAATCATCAGGGGAGGGACCTTAAGAGTTGTTTTCATGAGGTGTACTGGCAAACTCTGTCCCAAGGAATGGCAAAAAGGGTCTCTGTTGTAGGGCTGCGTTCGGAGCTCTCTAAAGTGAAAGCCACACGGTTCCCCAAGGCTGCTAGGGTATGTATAATAGCAGCATTCAAGATGGACATTCGGATACATCTTGCTCAGCCTCCTGCCTGAAGAGAAGATTCAGCTGTGCAGAAAACAAAAGCCACCTTTGAGTAGAGAAGGGCTGAGAAGGAAGCTGCTAAGGTGATTTTGATGGGTGATTAGAAGATGCCTTGAGTGCAGAGGGCAGGCGAGGGGTAGAAACAAACGGTTGTCATGGATTCATAAATTCTTAGCCCCTGCCATCTCCAGGCTGGACTTAATTTTGTGACAATAACTCCTTTTTGTGGGCTGGAGTGCAGTGACAGATTTTCTTGCTGTGTTTCTACTCCATGCTGCTGCTGAAAGTGCCCCCTTCAAGGCAGCCGCAGCCGCATTGGAGAACTGTGACTGTTCTCCAGCACCACACCAGGACTTGATCTCCAGTCGTTTCTCTGGGGCAAGGCGATGTGGAAGCTCAGCACCTGTCAATCACTGTTCCTGCCACCAAAGTTCCGGTTATGCAGATGAAGCCTCCAGGTAGAAAGCGTCAGAGAGTATAGTTTGTAAATCAGATTTTAAAAGGTGCCAGACTCTTAGTTAATTATCTTCTGAATCTGATAAAAGGACTGGAAAGTGAAGGAGATTCTCTACAGAATGCAGATTTTTTTCTCCCCACAAAAGACAGCTTTGCAGGACCATTCCAAAAATATGTTGCATAAATATATTTTGGGGTAAAATACTTGGATTTCTCTCAGGACCTGCTATCTGTCCTGTTGGTTATGGCTACGAAGAGTCTGTTTCCTCAGTCTGAAGGTCTCTGTTTTAATGTGAATGCTGGTCAGCCATGCCTGAATTCCAAAGGAAGGTAATGTGAATGCCTGAATTCCAAAGGAAGGAGAACCTAATGATGCATGTCCAACCCCCACTTCCAATTATCGTGTGAACTAGCTTTTCAGGTTTACTTCGGAATGCCTTTGGCTGAGGAGAGGGTCCATTCAGAGGGTTGAATTTTATTATTTTTATTAAGCTATCCAGATGCCATTCTTCTCCGTCTGGCCAAGATTTGCCAATCGCAACATCAATGACCACTGAAGTTGAATTTTATTCCATAGCATTGCCAGGATGGCATGACAGCCTGCTCCCCATCCATCCTGTCCCTTTATGGGACTCCCTCTAGGGAAAGTGAGAGAGTAGGAAGGAAGAAACCAGTCAGGCTGGCAGTGAGCGTGGATCCGCAGTTGAATCCCTTCAAATGAAAGAACAATCTGCAGGCACAGGTAAGGGAACTTGCACAGGGTGGTTGCCCAAGACATGCCCACAGCTACACAGATAAGAAAGGCCACACAGGTGGCTTGCCCAGACATGCCCGCAATGGAAAACTCTGTGCCTTGACACACATGCAGTAAGCAGAATAAAACAATATGGAGTAACTTAAGCTAAGGTGAGAAGTTCAAGACCGGCCTGACCAACACGGCAAAATCACATATCTATTAAAATATATTAAAAAAAAAAAATTAGCTGGATGTGGTGGCAGCTCCCTGGAGGCTGAGGCGGGAGGATCACTTTAACCTGGGAGGTAGATGTTGCAGTGAGCCGGGCTCAAGTAATCCTCACACTTGAGGTTCCTGAGTAGCTGGGACTACAGACATAATGCCACCATGCCCTGCTGATTTAATTTTTTTTTTTTTTTTTAGATGGAGACCCAAGACTATCATTACTCACCTGCAATTAATTTTCCTCAGGACTGGTCCAGCATTTCAGTCAGAAATGAAAGAGGTGATGTAAAGTCGGTGTTTTTTCTTTGTTTTTTGTTTTGAGGTGGAGTCTCACTCGTTGCTCAGGTTGGGGTGCAATGAATAATGTGATCTTGACTCACTGCAACCTCTGCCTCCCAGGTTCACAGGATTCTCCTGCCTCGGCCTCCTTAGTAGTTGGGATTACAGGGGGGGTGGGGGGGTGGGGGGGGGCGGTGCACAACACCACACATACCTGGCTCATTTTTTGTACTTTTAGTAGAGATGGGGTTTCACTATGTTGGACAGACTGGTCTCAAACTTCTTTCCTGGTGACCTGTCCCGCCTCAGCCTCCCAAGGTGCTGGGATTACATGCTTGAGCCACCACGTCGGGTCTTAAATTTTTAATAGAGACAGGGTCTTGCCATCCTGCTCTCCTTGAACTACTGAGCTTACACAATCCTCCTGCCTTAGCCTCCCAAAGTGCTGAGATTACAGGCATGAGCCACTGAGCTCAATCTTAATTTCTCATTTTATTCCACAGTGGTGGTAGAATATGCTTCATGGGATTTTGGTTCTCTGAACTTTTTTCAGAATTGTTTCGTGACCTACAGTGGTCTGTCTTGGAGAATCCTCCATGTGCTCATGAAAAAAGTATGCCCTCAGCAGTTTTGCGGTAAAACATTCGGCAAATTTTTGTCAGGTACCTTCAGTTCGATGTCTAGTCGGAGTTCAGTACTTTATTGTTGTTTTCCTGTCTAGATGATTGCTGTAAGGCAAGTGGGGTTTGAAGTTCCCCCCATTCTTGTGTTGAAATATCTCTCCTTAGATTAAGATTTGTTTTATGAACCTGAGTGTTCCAGTACTGGCTGCATATATATGGAATTGTAATGACCTTCTTTGTCTTTCCTATTTTTCCTGCCTTTGGCCTAAAGTATAGCTACTGCTGCTTACTTTTGGCTTCAGTATGCTATTTTCTGTCCGTTACTTTCAGTCTGTATGCTGTCTTTGCAGGTATAGCGAGTTTCCTGTAAACAGCATAATAGTGGATCACGTTCTTTAATCCATGGAGTCTGTGTCTTTTAAGTGTGCATTCTAGTCCATTTGTTTTCAAGGTTACTGATAAGTTGATATGTGAGGTCCTATAGCTGTCATACTGTTAATTGTGTTCTGATTTTGTATATTCCTTCTTTCTTTTTCTCTTACTATTATTGTGTTGTGGCAGTTATCTGTAGGGGTACCATTTGTGTCCTTTCCTATTTTTATGTTTTCTTACAATAGAATTTTATGTCTTGATGTGTTTTTGTGGTGGCAAATATTTTTCTTCCATTTTCAGAGTTAGTACTCCCTTAAACAGTTCTGGTAGGCCCCATCTGTTGGTGATGAATTCCCTCAGTCTTTGCTTGTCTGGAGAAGACTTTAATTCTCCAGCATTTGTGAAGGAAAATTTAACTGGATATAGAATCCTGGGCTGACAGATGTTTTCTTTCAGCACTTTGGATATATCATCTCATTCTAACCTTGCGTGCAAGATATCTGCTGAGCAATCTGTTTGTCCATTGGGTTTTCTGCTATAGATAACTAGATCCCTTTTTCTTGCTGTTCTTACAATTCTCTCTTTGTCATTGACTTTGGACGACAGTGTTACTATAATGCGCTGTAGAGAAGATTTTTTTTGTGTCACATCTGAGCGGGTAGCTGGATCTCCTGTATCTGGATGTGTAAATCTCTTGCTAGACTTTGGAAGTTTCATTTGTTATTTTGCTAAACAGCTTGTGAGTCCTTTTGTTGTTTTTTCATCTGCTGAGATACCAGTAGTTTATATATTCGGTCACTTTATGGTGTCCTATATATTGTAAAGATTTTGTTAATTCTTTTTTATTCTTTTAAAAATGTGTGTCTGCTTTGTTAATTTCTAAAGACTTGTTTTCAAGTTCTGTGGTTGTTTTTTCTTTCTTTCGTTTGCTTGATCTAGCCTATTCTTGCTGCTTCTAAACCCACTGTGTGTAGTTCATGAAAAGAATTTTTCAGTTCTAGAATTTAGTTCTAATAAAAACTAAACTGGTGTACTCCTCCTTCATATACTGACTTGCTTTTGTTTCTGGTTTTTAAAATGTTCTTCTTTCTCGCTGAGCTTCTTTATAGTTATTCATGTCGTTTTTCTGCCATTTTATGAATATCTTTTTGATTTGGTTCTATTTCTGGAGAATTATTGTGTCCTTTGGAAATGTCATATTAACTAGCTTTCTCATGTGTCCTTTCACTGATACCAGCATAACTGGCCTATCAGTCCCTTCCAGTTTTCTATAGGGAAGGACATATTTCTGAGGATGAATCTAGCATTGCTTGGGTAAGGCACTTTGGCTTTAATTCTCGGTTCATGCAGTAGGATAGTCTCTGTATGATTTCTTGGTTGTAAAGAGCATCTGAGACTTTTTCACTGGCTGTGGGTGCAGTCAGTATTGGAGCCTGTACTGCAATTTCACTGGGGACTCGGACGCCAGCTTGGCCAGACTGCAGGCCCTAGTAGTGGCAGCAGTGGACTGAACAATTATATCTTTGGGCTTCAATGTGACCTGCAATGGCACAAGTGTTAGTGTGTCCAAGCAGGCCAATGCTTGGGCCCCCAGGTGGCCTACACTGATGGAATAGTGACAGCTGTGTGCTGGGCATGTGGGTAGGTTAGTGGGCCTCTGGACAACTGATGTAGCATGGCTGATGGCGCTGGCAGTGGCAGTGGAAGGTCAGCCCCCAAGCAGTGTGTTCCAGGCTGCAGTGGGCTTGTCAGGCCAGTCTCCTGGCCTACGTGTGATACCTTGCATACACGTATCCGCTGTGGTTATAGCAAGCAGGTGAATGAGATCCAGCCTGAGCCCCCTCAAGAGGAGTGTTCAGGTGTCAATAATACTGGACTGAGCTGGGTAACACCCAAGCTCCAGACTTAGCTCTGGCATAGGAAGGGGATTAAACCTTGTCAGGCTGGTTTTTTTTCCTCAGGGCTGATGTTGTGTACATATGCTGGCCATGGAAAAGCAGGGGTTGGGAGGATCCTCAGGCCACTGGCAGAATGCTTAGGTGAATGGTGGCAGGATTTGTGCCACTTCCCTGCCACTAGGCAGGCAATACTGGTTTCAGTGACAGCAGCTTTGGCCTGCCTGTTGTCAGCACATGTGCCACACGTGCCTCAGCTCTGGTAGTGCTAACTACGTCTCGGGGACAGCAGCAATCTTTTCTATTGCCTCTCAGCCCCAGCACTGCTGGGCTCCAGAACAGTAGGCAATCTTGTTAGGTCTCAGTGAATGTAAGGGATCCTGCACAGGCTCTATCCATAAGCCAGTGCCTTCACACTATTTCTCTGCAGCTCCCTATGTTAGTTTCAGGACTCACTGAGTGGGGTTAGTTCTCCAGTGGCTAGGATTACAGGGGTACTGGTGTCAATATGGATCCCTGGGGGTCATTAACCGCTTAAGTTGTTAGATAGTCTCTCAGCTCCCAGCCCATCCTAGCCAAGCAGGCTGCCTCACCTAATTCTTCCCTGCTTCAGGTATTGCCTCTTTTCCATTGCTGTGTCTTGGATGATCAAGTTAGGTGTGGTTACTCACTTTGGTTCTCTTATTGGAGAAAGCAAACGCCCCTAGTCAGCCATCACGAAGGCTTCTTCATTTCTCTTCGAGAGATGTAATAAGTCGTACTGGTTTTTTAAATTTCTATTTCCCATGTTCATCTTTAGTGTACAGAACGATGATTGGCTTTTTTATTTATCTAATACTCTCTAACCTTGCAGAACTCATTTATTAATTCAAAAAGGTTTTGGAAATTCTTTGGCATTTTCTGTGTGTACAAGCTGCAAGAAAGAAGAGTGTGTGTTCCTCCCTTCCTATATGTCGTTCACTTGTTTGTTTTCCTTTATCACAGCAGCTGGAACTCCCAATATTGTGTTAAATAAGAATGACGAGAATGGACACTCTTGCTTTCTTTCGTCTCCAATCTTTGAGAGAAAAAAAACCCCATATTTTTCTTAGTAGTACAATGTTAGCTGTAGTTTCATTAGGAAATGCTCTCTATTAAGAATAAGTTCTCCTCCATTCTTAGTTTCCTAGCAGGTTCTACCATTGAGTGTTGAAATTTTCAGATGCTGTCACTTTTCTGCATCTGTTGATATCAACCATATGACTTTTCTTCTTTTCTTTTTTTCTATCTATGCAATTGCTGAGGAGTGATTTACTTTCGATTATGTGGTCACTTTTAGAATAGGTGTGATGTGGTACTGAGAAAAATGTATGTTTTGTGGATTTGGGGTGGAGAGTTCTGTAAATAGTTGTTAAGTTTACTTGTTCCAGGTCTGAGTTCAAGTCCTGGATATCCTTGTTAATTTTCTATCTCATTGATCTGTCTAATATTGACAATGCAGTGTTTAAAGTCTCCCACTATTGTTGCGTGGGCGTCTAAGTCTCTTCGTTAAGTCATTAAGAAGTTGCCTTATGTATCTGGGTAACTCTGTATTGGGTGAGAATATATGTAGGGTCGTTAGCTGTTTTTGTTGCATTGATGCTTTTACCATTATGTAGTGTCCTTTTTGTCTCTTTTGATCTTTGTTGCTTTAAAGTCTGTTTTATCAGAGATGAGAATTGTAACTCCTGTTTTTTTGTTGTTGTTGTTGCTGCTCTCCATTTGGTTGGTAAATCTTCCTGCATCCCTTTGTTTTGAGTCTTTATGTATCCTTGCATGTGAGATTGGTGTGGATACAGCACACCGATGGGGGGAGGCAGAGGCTACAGCTATTCCAGAGATCATGCCATGGGACTGCAGCCTGGGTGACAGAGGGAGATTCTTTCTTAAGAAGGAACAAAAAAGAAGAAGGAATGAAGTTATACATTAAAAAAAATATCTAGAGACAAATGACAGAAGAGACATACCATACCAAAACACATAGGATTTGCCAAAAGTGCCTCTAAGATGAACGTTTATCATACTAAACGTTTATATTTGAAAAGAGGAAAGAACTTCTCATGATGGCTGACTGGAGATAGTAGACATGAGTT